ACCAATAGAATGCAGTGGAAGTGATAGAGTGAACATTCTGACTTCAGGCTTCAAGAGGCCTTAAGCTTCCAGACTTAACTTCATGGAATGTGGTATCACAAAGCAAAGAAACTCAGGCTAGGCTCCAGAAAAGCCCAGCCAACAGCTCAAATCAACTGTTGACTTGTGAGTGAGGCCATGTAGGTTCACCCATCCCCTAGCCTATCTGCTAAGCCCAAGTAACAACAGCCAAAGAACTCCCCGGCTAATTCAACCCCAACTGTTGACCCACAGGATCGTAAGCAATTGTAAGATTTATTGTTTTAAGCCACTTAGTTTTGGTATGAGTAGGGTATATTATTCAGCAAAAGAGAACTAATTTCTCCTGGCCCCAGTTTTCTCATCTGTAAAATGGGAATGATGTCCGCATTCATATTTGATAAGATTGTTAGAAAGAGTGAATGAGATGAAGCCTTTTAATTGTGAAGCACTGGGTCTGGCATAGACATAGCAGCATCAGCATCAAAGTTCACCATTGGCACGAGCAGCTCTCGTTAGGCTTTCTGAGGCAAGTCACGTGACATACGCCCTTTGGCAGGTGGGGCAGAGTATATATCGAGGGAAGCCTTGGGACAAGAATGTGAGGTGTAACTTAGAGCAAGTCACACTGGCAGAGCAGAGGCGGGCAAGCATTGGAACTGTCTCAGTTACAGGAATCTTAGGTGTCCTGAGTTAGGCTGGAAGCCCAGGATTACAAGGGTTTGAGTCAAGGCAATGTAATACCAAAATGTCCCCAAGATCATGGAGGCCTTCAGGGTTTAGGAACTCAGGAATTGAGGAGGCAAGTGTCTCCAAAGGGTCATTAAAGGTCAGTCCTGAATATGTCCCACCCCTGCTGAATACATCTCCTGACGGGGGATGCCTAAGCCCAAGCTGCAGTGCACCCCAGCCTCATCCCCCACTGTTCCCCTTCACCTTCACATTCCAGCGGACCTCTAGACTCATGTTTCCTGGGATGGAATACATCCTCTCCTACCTCTGGGCCTTTTCACAAGCTGGGCCCTCTTTCTTGAATACGCTTACCCACCCCTCCACCACTTAACCTGGATAACTCCTACTGGTCTTTAGCTCAGCTGAAACATCACTTTCTCTGAGGAACATCCTTTCCCTGAGTACAGGTTGAGCTCTCTTCTCCGGGGCCCTCATGTCACCCTATCATTCCCTGATCCCCTGTCATTGTAACCACTGGTTACAATGGTTAAGGGCTGGGGCTAAATTTGTTTTGCTCACCTCTGTAACACCAACACCTAAATCAGTGTCCAGGGCACATTAAATCCCCTTCGTATTGTTTAAGTGATAAATCAATAAATGAATTGGATGGGTCCTTAGAGAAAAAGCAGCAACAACAAAAAGAAAATCAGTGGCTCAGAAGGGAAAGATACTTGCAAGGGACCTTCCCAATCTGTTAATCTTCTGCCCAGGGGATCCCCCATTGTGTCTAGGGACTGAGTAACAGCTCTGGGTCTGACTACAAGAGCATGCCAAGTGGACTGAAGTCCTGGGAGAGGCAGTGTGTTGGGTAGGATAACTAAATGCTATATAGAACTCCAAAATGTCAGTGGCTTAACATAGTAGATGTTTATAATTTTGTCACACAACAGTCAAAGGAGGGAATTTCTGTTCAGCTCATGGCTTTCCTCCATGTGGTGGGTCAAGGACTTAGGTTTCCTCCACATCATGGCTTCATCAACCCCTAGCACTTCAGAGTCCTCTGCTCCCAACTGGTGGAAGGGAAAGATTCAATGGAGAACTCACACCAGCGTCTTAAAAATCCAAGCTCCAAAATTGACACACATCACTTCAATTCACCCTCCATTGATAGAAAGTAGTCATGGAGCCATACCTGGATGCAAGGGAACCTGGGAAACGTAGTCTTTGGTTAGGCAGTTGTTTTCCAGTATGAACTCCACATTGATAAACAAAAAGCAAGAATTTTTGGTGGACAAATGGGCTCTTAGGTCAGATTTATGCTTTCCAGACTTCCGTTTCTTCATCTATAAAATGTAGGTAACATTATTACCGCAGGAGATTCTTGGAAATCTTAAGAAAAAAACCTTTAACAAATACCTGATACAGAACAAATGCTTGTCAAATATTACCTCCCTGTCCCACTTTTTTTTTAACTAGCAGAAATGAGATTTGTTTGAAGGTGTTGGTCAGAGGACATCTGGGTCTTCTCTTGACTTTATTGACCTCCTCTCCTTTTCACACCTTCCTCTTTCCCTCTGTCCGCCCTTTTCTGTCCCCCTCCCCCGCTTTCTTTCTCCTTCCCGCCTTTGCAGTATCTTTATATCTCAGGACTCCCCCCCCCCTTGCCTTCATGAGCTTCTTTCCCACCCCAATCAACCAGGCTGTGAAGTGGATTAACTGCTCCTCAGGGCCCGCCCCTCCATGAGCAAGAGGAGCAGATGCCAGCTCTCTAGACACATCACCAGGTAGCACGCCATCATCCCCTTTGCAGCCACAAAAGGCAAGCCAGGCAGCTCTTGACCTCAACAGAATGAACGCATCCTCACAAAACGTGTCAGAGAGAGGGGAGCTCCGTGCCAGCGCTTCCCAACTTGCCCAGAGGATCGTAACAGGTGTTCAACGAACAGGAGTGAAAACCATTCTGACAAACTCTGAGTTAAGCGGCAGCGTTCTTTCCTGCCGCTCTTTGATTTTAGCACTGCCAATATGCTAATGAACAGCATACATCTCTCAGCGGGGCAATGATCCATCATTCCTCATTTCCCAAACTTGTTTGGCAGTAAAACTCTTTCTGTTGAGCATCTCCTGGGTCTGTGACTGATGGAATGCCCGTTAGTAATTGCAGCTCAGTAACAAAAATCAAAGAACAGAGCACGTATTTGTTTAGCTACGTGGGGGCAGGCTAACTAGGAAAATTTAGCCCATAATTTATTGTCTTTGTTTTTAATATGAAGTTCCCTCCTTAAGGTACTACTATTATGAGGCTTTGGGGGGTGGGCGGCACTTTCAGTTTCTATCATGTGATGTAAATATCAGAGAGATTCAAGAATGGTGGTGGGGCTGAAACCTGGAAATGGATGTTTTTCATTTACTCATTAAATATTTATCAAGTTCTTGAGATGTGCCAGACATTTCTTTACACCAAGAGACTAATCTTTTTTGTTTGTTTAATGTCTTTGTTTTAACCTCATTGGCTAGCTTATGAATACAGACCATTTAGTTTAGACCAATGGTTTTCAACCAGGGTGATTCTGCCCCCCAGGGGACATTCCGCAATGTCTGGAGATCTATTTTGTTGTCACAGATGGGAAGGTCCTATTGGCATCAAGTGGATAGAAGCCTAGGATATTGCCAAACACTCTAATGCACACAACAGCCCCTTACAACAAAGAGTTATCTAGCCCAAAATGTCAATAATGGTAAGGTTGAGAAACTCTGACTTACAGGGAAAACATTTTTAAAAATCATCACAAGTGCATGAGCCTGCAGGAGTTGGTTAGGTGGCACAAATGTCTGACGAACTGAACATAATCAGCCTTGTCTCAAAGGGGCAATGGCTCCTTGAATCCAGCTGATCAGTTGCTACAGGGGACCCATGATACCATGTATCCAGGTGGCCAACCCTTCCCATTTTTCAATTCGAACATGAAAATACTCATCTTTTAAATGCTGGCAACTAATTTGAGTATTTGTAATGCTTTGCCAAACAAAATACATCTGGAAACATGATGAAGACAAACCACAAGTTCGCAACCTCCCCGAACACCAAGGGTGCCTTCCTAGCATTGAGCTAGCTAGCCAGCATTCAGAGAGCTCTTACTTATGTACCAGAACCTGCTCTAAGCACCCGACCCATGTCAACTCGTTGTATCGATACAACAACCCTACAAGGTAGGTGTAATAGCCTCTCCCATTTCAGAAACACATGCTCAGAGAGGCTATCCAACTTCCCTAAGGTGACACAGCAAATGGCAGTACTGGGATTTCAGCCCAGGCAGTCTGCCCCCAGACGCTGTATCATTAGTTGCTAAGGCAGCCTGCCCTGTGGAAGGTGCTGAGTCTCCGTATTCTCCACAGAGAAACTTGCAAGGGACTTCTCTGGCTTATTAGTCAACCTAGGCAAGTAACCATCCACCACTGTGGTTAGCCTGTGTTCGCCAAGTGTTCAGACCTCAGTCCCTCCATCTAAAGCTGTGGTCCTCAACTGGGGGTGATTCTGCTCCCTGGGACATATACTGCAATGTCTGGACACTTTTGGTTGTCATGAATGGGGTCTAGTGGCTAGGCAGCGGTTCTCAACCTGTGGGTCACGACCCCTTTGGGGGTCGAATGACCCTTTCACAGGGGTCGCTGGGTACTCGTATGTGGGCGTATCTGCATGTGGGCCTGGAGACGGATAGAGGAGCGGTGTCTCGGTTCCTAAGACCATCGAAAATATGTGTTTTCCGATGGTCTTAGGCGACCCCTGTGAAAGGTTGAGAGATGCTGCTAAAAATCGTACAGGACAAACCTCCACAACAAAGAACTATCCAGCCCTAAATGCCAATAGTGGTGAGGCTGAGAAACCCTGATCTAAACACCTGGCTGGCAACTTGCAACATGAAAAATACCACCAGCAGAACATTCCAGGTGATTCTGTCTATCTAGAATATTATTTTATTTCTCTCCTCAAATCATTTTATTTTTCTTTTCTTGCCCTAGAATTTCATCCTAGTCCTATGTCACTGTGCTAAATGCCTACACTGAATAATCTCCTAATACATCACATATGTTAGCAGCAGCGGAACAAGAAATGGAATGATTAGCTGAGGCAAAAGAAAAGCACTAAAATACAAAATAAACCCGTGAGATTCGACCATAATATCAACTACATGCTGGAAATGCAAATGTTCTCTTCTGGACGCCCTAACGCATACTTGTGCCCAGTGCCCCCGTCAGACTTCAATTGCCATGACCCCCATTTCTGCTAAACACACACGTGACCGCTCTGATTTCATAGAATGATTTTAATAGAAAAGTACAAGATATGAACAAAAATAAATAATCTTTATCTCATTTCTAGCCCAGCAAATTGTACACTGCATATAAAACTGGTCTAAGATGCAGTTTTCCTCATTCCTTTTCTGGTTTTGAAATACTGAGACGCCATGTTAATTAAATCTCCTCGATTTAAACTGATACATTCTTGTTTTTAATAGTCGTACCCATCTTTAGTCATTTCTACACCCATTTTTTAAAAGTTGGCTAACAAAATGATGTTTCACTAAAATAAACTATTATCCAATCATCAGATTTAAGTGTCAAGTTTGGGCGAACAGGTAAATTATTGAAGATTCCTTTACTAAGTCATGGCATCTATTTTTCACCATTCCACAGAGAGAGGGGGAAGACTAGAAAAATAGTTTTTTAAAAATTAAATATTTTAAAAGTACCCTTTACAGTAATAATGCAGTATTTTAGACCTATGCCTTGGTGCATATTTGCATTACCTATATTCTTCAAGCTATAAGTACCTTTCTATCTGTCTCTATTTATATTACGGACCACTCAGTCTTTGGAAGCTGTTTTTGCTAATGATCTCTTGGAGTTAGCCAGTACCAGTTTCTTACTTGGGGTACTTATCCAGCCAGAGTGTCATATTTGATAATTCCATAATTCCAGTGGCTTCAATAACGTTTTGCAAAAACAAATTGAAAATTGGTATTGGCAAAATCACATAAGAAAAAGGTTTAGATAGGCTACTAAAACATATACAGGAGGTCAGCAGCTGAACAGATAAACTGGACTAAAACTTAAGTCTTCCTTTTACTTGAGCCCATAATTACTATTTTGAACATGGCTCTCTGCTTGTCGCTGCCTATATATAATTTTTGTTGTTGTTGTTAATTTTCCTGTATTGGGAAGATCTTTGAACACATTCCAGGATGAGAAGGAAAAAAATATGCTGACACTCCTAAATCGAGTATATGTTTTTGCAATAAAGAACACTGGTCAATATACAACTGAGGAAAAACTGAAACAGATGTGAGTCCCAGAACCACAAGCGTTTGAATTTGCCCAGAAATGCTATTTTAAACACTCTATATGTTGGTCTACTGTTTTTTTGTGGAATAATGCATTCTTGGCATCCTTAAAAGGTTTCAATATGTTACAAGGTTATCCGGAAAGAAAAAAAAAGCAAAGGGCTAATGTATCAATCTGTGCAGTGCTCGCCAGATTTTGGTGTACACTTTCAGAAAGCATGAGAACTCATATTAATTGCACTTAACACAACGAACTTTTAGTTTCCAATGAGCTTTCATTCTCCGCAGACTGAGGCTTGCTTTTCAAGAAATTACTTTCAAAGGGGGTATAGAGACACTCAGGCCCCAGTAACTTCAAATAGAGAGGTGCAATAATTGCAGTGGTAAACACAAATACACTTTTTTTGGGCTAAAACTCTGGTCATGGATAAAAGCATGTGCCTTTTTCAGTTCTTCTCTGAGATGTTACAACAGCAACACGCTCTAAAACAATTAAGTTACATGCATAATGCTGAAAGAATGTGAGCAATCCTAAAACCAGCTTTCAGCCATCTGCTTGATTTCTTTTTTTGAGGAACATATATAGGAAAAGAGAATTCCCCTTTTGTTCCCTTACACTTAGAAATCTTTTGAAGCTTCCAAATAGTTTGGTTTTGGTAAAATTCTCTGCTCTTCTGTTATTCTGACATGTAGTCTTCCCTAAACTCTCCCTCATGGTTTCTCAAAAAAGCTCCACATGAATTATCTGAATGACAATTGAAACCACTTCCCAATATACAAGTAACATTTTATTTTATATTCTATCTTCCATTTGGCATAAGCCTTTCGATGTTTGTTTTTTAAACCAGTGAAATATACAAATCACGCAAGGCAGAAATATGTACATTAAAAGTACAGAATATAGGCCATAGAAGATATACATAATATCTGAATGACAAGTAGAATATTTTACATTAAATAGTTTCTTTTAAAAACTAGGATTGTTAAATTCAACTCTCTTCATAAACATGAATCACTAAAAAGGAACAAAATCTGATTTAGCAAATAAAAAAAATTACTTCATGGTTTTTGTATAATAAAAACCAAAAAAGTGACATTTTAAACTAATTAGTGCTTTTTAATTTCAAGATCTTTTGCTTGCAACTCACTGCAACTGAGGGGAAATGAATATCCTTGTGCAATAAATTAAGAGCCACAGATGGCTGAGGTGATATGAAGGCCACTGTCGATGAGGATCTCAGGAGAGGTGTATCTTTCCAAACTTTGAAAACAATGTAGGTCTGAGATAAGAACACATTTGATGGCACTTTTTGGAAAGAGGTGTCCTTGTTTTAAAAAATTTAAAAACTAGCTATGTATGTGGTGAGCTGGATTTTCCTTGGGGACTCAAATAGATACCACTAGATCTACCAGGCACCAGTTTCCACTCTGCAAAAGGAACTAAGGAAAGTGAACCCTTGACCGTGCTTCCGAGTTTTGAATATCTCTTCATTTCCACATCTATGACAAACAAGTAATGCCCTCTCAGGAAAGTGGACAGACATGGAGGTTGGAGAAAAGGGGGTGGGGCAGGGAAGATCCAAGAAATCTTCAACCCAACATGCATATCAGTGAGGAAGACCTTCTAGGTTCCTCAAAAACAAGCCGCTTTATGATGCTCGAGATGGGATTGCATCAGGGCCACAGCCCAAGCTCAACTTGAAACCTTTTGGAAAAACCCCAGCTGGATGGCAGTGAAGGACGACAACGCTCTAGACCAAGAAATAACCCCAGAGTCAAGTGTAACTCTAAATCACTGGCTGCACTGAAATATAATTACATTTATATTTATATATATGTATATATATATATATATATGTTATGTACAAGACTTTGAGATATCAGGCACCATTAAACCACATTTCCCTCCCCCCTTATAAATGCAACTGTTCAAGTACACGAGGAACAGTTATAGGGTACACCTGCAGTATAATAGGAAAAGCTTGAGTGGAGAGTCTAAACACAGGATCATAACAGTGAGACGCTGTGACACCTCTGTGAACTCCATTAGCCAAGTTATGACATTAAAACATAAAACTACTGCTCCTCAGAATAAAAGTTTTAGAAAAAAAAATCCCTAAGTAGTGAACTGTTTTCCACGTGAAGCTCTTAATGGTTCATTTCCTGCCCTGCAATCAAAGGGGACCCAGTGGAGCAGCCTTTGAAACGTGGCCAGCCTCACCCCCTTGCCACGCGGCAAGGAGAATCAGACAGAGCTTGGGGTCAAGTGGGAGGGCGGATTTCACTTCTTCCTCTGGAAGAGGTTTTCTGCTCTGGCGCAGCACTGAACTACACACAATTACCTTGGTTTTTTGTGCCGGGGATCTGTCAATGGAATTCATCTATTATTTTCATTATTATCATTTATTAACCAAGTATCCCTAAGAAAATTACAGTATATTTTCTTTTTATATCCAAGCCAACCTCCCCCACCCCTATCCAAACAAAAAGTCTGCAACCCAGAATCATTTGCGGATTCTTTTCCAATCTGATAACCTAATTCCTAAAACAGCTTCAAATCATTGTCATGATATGGGCGTTTTTAAGTTGGTTTTTTTTTTAATTTCTGGGGCTTTCTGCACAGTTCTCCAAGTTTTGGTAGCTATTTGAATAGGACCGTCTGCACATGGAATGTTTGAGAAGTATGAGACACATGATATACCTTTTTTTCTTTGAGATTCTCGCTCTTACATTTTCAATTACCATTTTGAAAATGTTTCAGGTTGGCAGCCCCTGGGAAAGTTGGGGGAGGGGGGTTGTCTCATTTTTTTGTTTGTTTGATTCTCAACACCTTATACCAGAGCATTTACAATTCCTTTTGGTCACAGAGGCTGAATTGTGCATAGATTTGGACCACTGAATGCTACCTGTCCCATATGACCCCATAGTTGAGAGAAAGAAAATGTATTTCCTTTACCTTCTAGATGTGCACACAACTAAGTTAGGATATGTGTTATTTCCCCCTCATCCTACACCATCAAAAGAAGTCTTGTCTTACCTTTTCAAAGATCCACAAAATAAATATTTTTCTTGGCTCCCACCCCCCATTATTGCCAAATAATAATTATAATAATAATAAACCACAGAGTTCTTAGATGGGAAGAGAAAAAAAATGGTTCCGTTGCAATTCTTGGGGGAATATAAAACAATATTTAAAAAAAAAAACAGAATCACTGTACTTTCTATAAATAAGTGGGTCCTGGGAATGGGGCTGGGTGACAGGCGGGCGGCAGGGCGCCCACTATTTGCACACAAACTGGTCCACAATCTCTGTGCACTTCTTGCACTTGACGTAGCAGCACCAGTGGAACTTGCAGTGGCAGCGCTCCGTCTGCACGGTCTTGAACTGGTCGTAGCCGCGGCCGCAGCACATGAGCTCACATCCGTCCATGCCCTCAGACGTCTTGTTGCAGAGGCGGCCTTGCGTGCCCAGCGAGCCCGTGCTCTCATTACGTACGCAGTAGTCAGGGCTCGGGTCGATGTAGACCAGGTCCTGCGTGGTGGGCGAGTTGAAGCGGCTGTTGACCTGCACGAGCTTGCCTCGGCCATTGAGCCTCATGGCCGCGGCGCTGTCATATTTCTCCTTCAGGGCATCGCCCACCTTACGGAAGTCTGCCAGCTGCAGCCAGCACGTCTTGAGGCTACACGAGCCGGACACCCCGTGGCACTTGCAGGCCACATCAGCCAGGTTGTAAACCGTCTGTGGGGAGATAGGGACAGTCAGTGGACCAACTCATGGAGGAGCCCAGACCCAGGACCCCCTCCACCTTCTACATGGAGCCATGTTCACCAGCTAAACTAGGGGCCTGGCTGTTTCCTCTTCATTCTCCATGACCAGAAGTCTGTGTTGCTTTCTTTCAAAAGTCTACAAAATAAATATGTTCTTAGCCCCTCATTATTACACATCATCATAATAAACAACCACAGTTTTTTAATAGGAACAGGAAGAAGATCATTCCAGTTGCTTCTGTTTTGCAGGAAAACAACATTAGCTGCAGCTAATACGTCTTGAACAGTCTTCCCAGAGACTGTGCACAGTTCTTTACCTGCACCACTTTCATTAGTCCCCACAACCAGCCTATCAGGGAAGTGCTGTTATCATCCCCATTTCAAAGAGATGGAAAGTGAGGTCCAGGGAGGTGAGTTACTTACCCACCTACTGGGAAGGAGGGGAGCCAGGATTTGAACCCAGGCAGCTGGGCTTCAAGCTCATGCTGAGACATACCCATAGGCACCCAGGTGGTAAGCGGTAGGGTTGGGACGGGGTCCAGCCCAGGTAGGATCAGGGCTCAAATCTTTAGTCACCATTACTATTACTATTATTTCTGTGTGCCAGGCACTGTCATAAAAGCCTCTACACTCTTTTCTCATTTAATCCTCCCACCAAAGTTAACTTGGGGTAGATTAGATGATTGCGCAATGACACAGAGAGGATCAGTGGCCTGCATAGGTCACACAGCTAGAATGTGGGAGAACTGAGTCTGTCTCCTGCTCCCCGAACAATCCCTAGGCCCCGTCCCTACCGCCTAGGCTAAGAGAACCTACCCTGGACCCAGGTAGACATGGGTTCTGTCCTGACTCTGCCCCTGAACACAGGCAGCTGGCTTCACCTCTGTGAGCCTCCATTTTCCATCTGTGAAGGGGACTGTGATGGCCCCATCCTCACAACCCTGTTACAGGATGAAATTAGAGGATGCATGGAAAGTATTTAGAATGCAGGATACCATCAATAAATTTGGCCTTTCTCCAGGGCAACAAGGGCGTGGCATCTGGGTGCTGAACCTGGGCCCTTGCCCAGTCACCCTAGCCTCCCAGGAGCAGCACCCACGGGTTTGACCCCACAGCACTGTGCTCAGCAGTCTGGGAGGTGGTAGCTACCTATTTATAGCCCGGATGACCCACGGTTCCTGTACCAGTTACCCTCCAGAGCTGGCGTGGTATTGGCAGGTTACAAAGGGCCTGTCAGGAACCTGGAGGCTGGAGTGAGTTAGAAGGCTGCTTCTAACAAGCCACCTTCTTCCTCCAGGATTCAGGAGGGGCTTTCTTAAAAAGGGACCAAAGTGCATTCCCTCAGCATGAAGAGTTTCAGGCAAACAGCTAGTCTGAGGAAAGGTTTTGCAAACATGTTTAACCTTCACCCCTCCTTTGAGGAAAATAAAAAACTAATGTCTCAAGGAGATTCTAATATGATTTCCTGGCACAGTGTCCAAATTCCCTGCACCACCCCCACTATTCTGAAGAAAAACTGTCTTCTATGTAACCTCATCCGCCAGGATCTAAGCTCAGCTCACTGCTTGAATTATAAAACGTATGGAAAAAAATTTTTAAAACCTCAATATAAAAAAATGTAGATGTTACATGAAATTATAATATTAGAGGTGCTTTTCCAAGTATCCAAAATCCCCTCTCCACACTTGGAAATCCCTTGACCTGCTCTCCTTGGTTGCTAAGCCCCCAGAGATTTCTCTACATGAGAGAAATCTAAGAAATCCCCAAAGATGGATGAAAGCACCAAATATGGGCATAATGGGGCCCAGAAGTATCAGCCACATTTCTGTCCTGGAGGCCTGTCTGGTCTGCGGCACTGGACACACTGAGTCAAGGAGGTATCCCTGACAAGGACAGGAGCAAGGTCTTCTGGACTCCTGGAGAGCCGGGCTGACATGCCCACTGCATGGCCTTGAGTTGGCAGCAGTGGGGAGAGAGTCCACCACACTGCAGGCACCACAGCAGTGGGAGACCTGAGAAAGGAGAGGCCACACTTCCTCTGGTGCAATGATCTGAGCCCTCAGGACAGCACAGGCAAAATTCTGCAGCGTTCAGTCCTTCCCCTACACCACCAAATGTTTAACGTCAAAGGTGGCAAGATAAATTAGCTGGGATTATCGATATAATCTTTGACTTCTCTGTCTTTTAATTCATAATGTTTAGGAATTACCATTTATCATACACTTTACTACTGGCTGACACTAAACGAAGACCTTCGATTGAACCATATGAAATTGTTATTTGGTAGGTCAAAAATAGTCAAGTATTGGTAATGTCACATAGTTCAACCTATTATATGATCCCAGTTAGTTCTCATAATAATCCCAAGAGCTAGTTCATGCCATGGCCATTTAACAGATGTGGACATGTGAGACCGGAGGCTCAGAAACAGAGAGAACTGGGTTTTAACCTAGATTTCTCTAATTCCCAAACCTATAACCCTTCACCCCTAAGCTGTGATGCATGAGTTTAATTTTTAAAAATGTCTGGCTTATATCTCAATCCACTCATTGTCTTCCATGGCCATGAAATGGTCCTCTAGGCCTCAGTTTCCCGATCTTTAACATGAGGGCATGCAACCAGATGGTGCAAAGGCTCCTTCCAGTCCTGGATATTTTACTTTGAGATTATCTTTCCCTTTCCTCACCCCAAAACACAGAAGAGTGAAATCTCTGACCAGAAAGTTCCTGGCACCTACCTTGGGTTCTGTGAAAAAATAATGGCCTTGGTTTTCAACGCTGCCAAAGTTAAGAAACGTTTTCACCCCTTCATTTTAGAGCAGCCATAAAGTGCCATGTGCTTAACCACGGGGGAGAAAAGGGGTCTTTTTAACTATTGTGGAGAAGCAAGCGTTTCATATCCCCACCAGGGGAAGGGAAGAGCAGAAAGGGGCCCCTCAGGAGGGCCTGCAAAGGCGGTCTCCTCTGGGCATTTGTGTGTCTCTCCTCTCTCCAGAGCTACCCACAACCGGCCTGATGGTCAGACTACTAGGACTGCTGAAGCTTTCCTAGAAAAGCTCTTGAAAAAAGAAAATAATAATAGCCTTCAGTCCATCAGGCCTGCTATCTAATGACATAAGAAGGAGAAAGAAAGGAGGGGAAAAGGTAAGCCCTGGAAGCTGGGGAGAGGGCTTTCTCAGCTGGGCGCCAACTGGGAGAAATAACTCCCTCTCCCAAATTTCAGCCCAACTGCAAACTTGTTCCAGGCAGGGGAGGGCAGACGTTAATATTTTTACTTCTGAGCTGGGCTGGTCATTTGCACTGGGGACTAATTAAAAAGGCAGAGAAAGATCTTTCTTGGGCAACTGCAGCAGCACCTTGCCTGGAGGAAGCCAAGACGGGACAATTCACACCCAGGAGTCTTGTGTGGGTTGCATGCCCCTCTCCAGAAAGGCCTGTGGCCTATGTGTGGAGGGGGTTAGTGGGGAGGAAAGAGGAGGGGAGGGAAGGGTAAGGGGGGGAGAGGGAGAGAGGGAGAGAGGGAGAGGGAGAGGGAGAGGGAGAAAGGGAGGGAAGGAGGGAAAAAGGGAAGGAGGGAAGGAGGGAGAGGGAGAGGACCTGAAAAGACAGAAGGGGAGATAAAGGCAGAAAGAGAGAGAGACAGACACACAGAGAGACAAGGAACAGGAACCTATAGAAAGAGGTGGTGGCAGAGGGAGGGATAGAGAGACCAGAAGAGGCCCGGCTTGGCTTGGGGGTACAAACAGAGGGGGCCGGAGAGCTGGGGATGGCACGCCGGGGCGCACTCACCCTGCGGCCAGCCTCATTGTTGTGCAGGTTCATGAGGATGCGAGCGCTCTCGTAGGAGCCCTTGGCGTGGATCCGCTCCCGCTCACGCGCGTCCACGAACTCCTTGGCAAAGCGGTAGCCGTAGTCGATGTTGTCGCCGCAGCCGCCCCACAGCCAGTCCCGCGGCAGGTCCTTGGGGCGCGCTGCGCGGCTGCAGCCGCAGGTGGACAGCTCGCCCTCGCGGCACGCGCGGCTCATGGCGTTGACCACCCCCGCGGCACTCACCGCGTATGTGAAGGCCGTCTCGCGGCTGCCTGCGGGCGAGGACGCGGGTCACCGGGGCCAGTTGTGGAGGGGACTGGGAGAGCCCCCGACACACAGCAGCCGCTGGCTCGGTGAGGGGTGCGGGTGGGTGGGAGTCTGTTCACACACGTGCTGCCCCAGGCAGGGCCTTCCCTCTAGGATGGGTAACGTAGCGAGCCCCATTCCTAACTTAAACCCGGGCCCTGTGCTCACCTGAAGGAGAAGCCAAAAGAGATCCTCTAATACACACAGAAGCAACAAACGACAAAGGAGCAGCACATCCCTGAGGTCTCTGCTCTGACATTTCAGAGCAGAAAGGCAGGACTGGAGGCAGCGCTCAATTTTCTCTAGGGCTCTTTTGAAAATATTGGAAACTTATTTCCAAAAATGCACAAGAAAGAAGTCATTGGGGGGAAAACACACAATTTGGGGAGACTTCCTTACTCTTGTTTTAACGTTTGAATTATTTTCATTTTGAGTTATGTGTAAGGCGGGAGCATAGAATTTGCTAGGTTTAGAGCCTGGGAAAGGCTGAGGCCTCAGTGGAACCCAGACACTGCAGCAGCCATACTTGTTGTGGCCAAACTAGTTCTAGCCTCCTTCCCCCCTCCTTTCTGAAGTGGTAACCTTTCCTCCCAGCTCCGTTAATGAAGTCTGTGTCAGGATAAGGCTCTTGACTTTCCCAGTGGACATTTCTAAACCTGTGCCTAGAGAGTTGTACATGAAACTTGCCTCTTCTTAAATCTCAAGCAGACTGCACTGATACTTCTCATTCAGGAAGATGAGTGTCTACCTTTAAAGCAGCCTGTGGGTCTTCTACCACATTTCTGCAACTCCCTGACAGCCTGAGCCTCCAAGTGTTAGAATAATAGCAAGAAGGGAAAAGGTACAATTTAAAGGGGAAAAAAAAGTAGGAGGGAGAAGCTCCTTCCTTCCCCGAACTTGTAAATATATACAAACCCAAGGGGAGAAAGTTTTCTCCTTATCTAAAATGTGCAAAGAATACCTCCCTGTAAAAATGGTTATATCAGAGCCCTATTTGGAAGGAGAAAAATGGAGCCCATCATAGACCACCTTAGTCTCCACTTGTATGTGAAGACATTTCTACGTGTAACAAGAAGCCACTTACTCAAACTGTTGTACTATGAGAGAGAAAGGGTTAACACCAGACCAGCTGAAGCTGGGCCTGGGGGAGGGTGGGATGAGGGGGCCCCTTATTTTCCTCAGCTATAAAATAAGGGTATTGAACTAGATGACTAGGAGGAAAGGTTCCTTCTGGCACTAAAATCCCTATTGCAGAATCAGTTTCTACACTTAAAGAGCTTGCTAACAATTTTCTTTGGGGGGGTGCAGGGGGGGAGTGACACAAGAACAGCTGACAACAGAACACAGCCCCAACCAGAAAGGTCCTTCTGCAGGAAGATGACTATGCTAACGCAAGGACCCAGCATGCCCTCCTTTTCTGGGACTTCTGCTCCACACTTCAATCCACATCCCCTTCTAGGAATGCCAATGGTTCCGATTTACCACAGATCCTTCCCTCTTACATTTTAAAAAATGAATAACTTGAGACGTGTGCTGGCGGTTGGCAGGAGGATCCAGAAAGTTCCTGTGGGGTTTGACATCTATCTTGCTCAAATCAGAGAGGCAGGGGACAAGAGTGGGGGGAGTGGAGAGAAATGAGGAAGGCAGACAGATTCTAGGGAGTTGTTGGAGGATTAACGCTGATAATACAGAAAATGCTATGGCCCTGGATGGGAGACTTGAAGAATAAAGAGGTAGCTAGAAGAAGAGGAGATAAACAACCCTCTGGAGATAGAGAAAAAATAAGACACTGTCCTGTGAGTATACAGAGCATAAAAGGGCTTTTATACAAAAACACAATAATGCTGCTTGTTTCATAAGTCTATCTTGAGCATTTCCTTTTTTGCCTGAGAATACAAACCTGGTAGAAGTCTCTAAGCTAATTGGTCACTGCAGGGAAAACTTCAGTTTGAAAAGTGCTCTTTGGCTAATCGCCTGTGGGTATAGTCATCCTGAATGGAATACTGTGGGTTCAGTTCTGTTTCCCTCCCTGTAAATCTACATCCTCTCCGATCCTCACACTCCTTAAAAATGGTGCCTTTCTGACATATCTTTTCACAGCATCGAAACAAAGAAGAGACGGAGACAAAAGCTAGAAGAAAGGGTAACATGATGAAAAATGAGAACATTTCCAAAATGAAGAGTGGGCCCTTCATGAGGCGATTGTGTACAGCGCCTCCAAAGCCATTGGCACCCTAGAAAAATGAGCTGAGGAGGGGTTGGAAGTGGCAGCCCTGAGTTTCTCAGACACTGGTCCCACCACAGGGTCAGATTCTCACAGACAAGAATTGCTCTCCATGTCCCTGGTGTACTAAGTGTACTAAGACACACACACACACACACACACACACACACACACACACACACAATCTTTCAGCCTCAAAGGTGTAAGTTTTCCCTTAGCTCATTCTCTTCAAACATACCCTTAAATAGAAAAGTGAAAGCTAAGTAACTTTCCCACTATTGGGGTTGAGTCCATGTTCCTCTTCCACAAAAAGCTATTCTGGTTTTTCTTCTCTCCAACTCTTTTTTCTTTTCAATAAATAAAGAAGAGAAGGCCCTGTCAGTGTTCCACCATGAGCCACCCAGCAGCAGTTTTCTTCCCTGAGACCCCAGGCACCTGGGGAGCTTTTGGCAAGAGAGATGCAACATGTGCTCTCATCTTCCCAGGACAGCAGCTGACTTGATGATAGCATCTAGGAAGGCTCCCTCTAAGGCTGTCAGAACGTTCCACTCCCACCCACTTCCCATCAACCCAGGCTGTAAGCACCACACGGCTGAGGACCAGAGCGTGTACTTGCAAGGGACAATTAAATAGAGGCCTTTATACCAAGGGTTCTGCTTGTTCCCTGAGGAAGCAGACTCTTTGAATCCTGGACCACATTTTAAATAAATCTCCAGCAGAACTCAAATCCACTTAGCAAATGATAGCTTATTCTGAATGTTTTGGCCCCAAACAGGGTACATATGAAGACGAGAAGATCTTAAATCAAAGCTGTGTTCCAGTGACTACACAGAAAAACAGTTCAATTGCTGATGATTTTTCTTTTCTGGTTCCCATCAGAGGTATATGATTTTTGCTAACTCATATACTTGTGAAAAAGGGGCCCCATCGTTTGAGAGGAGGGCAGTTTAGGGGGAATGTATAAAGCAAATGGGAAGGGGGAGCTGACAACTTGCATTCTGATATAACTTAAAAATGTTCTGAGCTCCCTCACAATATTAAAATGCAGGGGAATGAAATCTCCAACATACCCCCAGGTAACCACATAAGGCAGCCTATATTCAGGGGAAAATCCTGTGTCCCTGAAGCTTAACTCCTAGATTCCGATCCCAATATATACATTAGCACATTTTAATCATTAACAGGAAGGACAAAGCCCTATGAAACTTTGCAGGCTGAGGCTGCAGACCATTTTCCCATTCAATTAGAGGCGCGGCTTCCAGTCCTGTATTATTTTAGTTTATGAAGCCGCTTGGCTCAAACATCCCCTGACAACTCGTTTTTGTTCTCAATGAATACACTTTTCAGGGGTTTTTTAAAAAGCATTTTATCCATCCGTGACGGATATTAAGCCAACTTTTTTTTTATCTTCAGTCAGTATAAACAGTTAATTGCTTTGATAAATTGCTTCTTATTTTAGGAGTCACTGCAGTCATAAAAATTATAAGGGCTTGTTTGCATAAAAGTAAAGAGACCTAAAATAGTCACACTAGGACACACACAGGACCACATCTATCAGATAGTACCCTATGCTATTAAACCAAACCAGAGGCAAGCTGATTTTTCAAATTCTTTGCCTTTAGCCCAGTTTTCATGCCATCTCCTGCCTGAATGGAATAACAAGTTCAACAACACAATGAAAATAAAGAATTGAACTGTGAGTGATACATTTAAAGTTTTGCGTTTTTTTGAAGTTTCTAGGGTGAGATCTGAAGTATGTGCTTTTATATCAATTGCCTAAATTGCAAATGTAAAAAGGATTACTTGTAATTAAAATTCTTTCTGGGACTAAAAATAAAACGTTTAACATAGATATCTCTATAGCCTCAGGGGTTATCTATATTAGGAAAATTAGAACCTTATTCACTTCCAACCTAACCAGCATTCTGAAAGATGACAAGTTTTAGTTTGCTTCTTGGGCCATTTGAATTATTGGCTTAAGTTAGGAAACTTCTTCCAGTTAAAAGAGTTTTGAAGTATAAAAGGATATAAACGGCCCAGCTTTCCTCATCTGCTTTTGAGAAACCAAAATAAGTGTACTGCTTCTATCTTATAAAATGTTTCTTAGAAAAATTAAATGTTCAGAAAAATGAAGGTGTCTTTGATGCTCCCCTCCTGGTTTTGTTCAAGAAGTCCAAAACAAGGTGTAATCAGTGTAAAGACAGGAATTAATACAGGTAGCAATGACAAAAATCCCCTGCTGGAAAATTCCCTCCTTATCAAGCTGGTTAGTAAACACTAAGGACTTTTCCTAGGAGAAAAGTTTGTGTGTATATTTAAAAATATGTTAAATGGTTTCCTACCTATCTGCATAACCCTGCCAAAAACGGAGGTGTTATCTACGGTGCTGCAGTTCCATCTCCGATGTCGGAATTGATACTGGCATTCTTTGATGCCTGTCTTCGCGCCTTCTCCGATGTACTGCATGTGGTCCTGGTACAAGTGGCATAGTTTCTTCTGTCCTTGAGAAAGTCCTGCCAGTTGGCTGCAGAGAGGCTGTGCTCCTATGATATATACTTCTGACATCTGAACAGGGTTATTCATACCTAGCGACCTGAAAAAGGGGGTGGGGGGGAGATGTGCATTCAAGATTTACGTGAACTCTTGAGGTGGGCCCCCTGAAATCATGTCAGCAAGACATAGTTTCAAGCACACAGATGCTTTTTCTCTCCTGCTTGTCCTCATGACAGAGTATGAGAAGGGCTTCATAAAACTCCTCTGTTTCAACTCCACTCAGAAAACGGAGGTATTGTGTAGTCCCCATCCCGCCATCTGGCTCCTCAGAGTTTTACTCCCTTCCTTGCTCCCGCTGCCATATTACCTGAACCAATATTTCCGCAATCCACTCAGAAAAGAGGGAAACAGGGGTTTCGGGGACAAGCCTCTGAACTTAGAGAAGTGACTCACTTTGCCCCGCAAATTGGACCGATCTGCCTTGAAAATGTATGAATGCCGAAAGTAGACACAATTAGACACGGATAGGAGATAGCAGTTCCTTTTGACTGATGGAAGAACAGTGGGACAAGTATATAGACTGAAGAAAATTCTCCATGCTCTGGACATTTTAAAAGGGCTCCTTATGTGATTGTGAAGGACCCAAGACAGGAGATCCAGTGAACAGAAGTCATGTTTGACAGCCAGAAAAACACTGTTCATTTACAGGGAGAAATATGCAGAACGCCATCAAAAATAATCCTCTGTATATACTGCAGTCTATCTACAAGGTCCTTACCAGAAAGACACCCACGTTTAGGGACATTTGACTACTTCAAGTTCACTTTTATTTTTTATTTTTAAAATCGAATTTCGAGCCCAAATACTTCTCTACCTGGAGTTAAGCTGTCTTTCTAGAACTCTGCCTACATTGGACCCTGAAGGTTCATTACCTCAAGTGACAGAAAGAAAAAAGTTGAAACTCACTTTTACTATGCAGAGGTGGCAAAAAGTAAATCTTATAGATAGGCTTACAATTATTAGAGAAGTGAATTTTGTGGTTCCCTTTTACTACATGATGTACTGTAAGCATACATCTGAACAAGGGCCTCACAGAAAAAGGTCTAGATTTATAGGTTCTGATTCCCTATGGAGCTAAAGATAAGCTTCACAATATTAGCAAATTAAAAGAAAACTCTTGATTCAAAGACATATAAAGAAAATGTATTACATATGTGTGTATTAGATAAATGCACCCAAACTCAGGATTCAGCTTTAAATATTCCAGCATCATACAAATGAATCTTTTTAAAAAAATAAAATAAAGCAAAATATGCACATAGAATGAACTTACCACCAAGAATTGGCTTCTATGACAACCTGGGCGAAGGAGAAAAATATGGCCAAAGCCATTAGGAAGAACTTGGAAGACATTGCACTTCCAGCCGTCCCCAAAGCAACTCCTGGGCTTAATATTCCAACCGACTTCTGGAGAGGGAAGAAAGGAGCAGATGTTTATTGCCTCTCAGATAATTTTCAAGCATACAAGTTTAAACAACGGAAGCATCCGGGTCTCTGAAGTTTACTGTTGATTGACTGCGCTTCTCCTCCGTGAGTTTTTTGATGGCAAGATATAGGCAGTTTCTTTTTCCAAATTAATCCACCCACGCAACCTCACCAGGAAATCTGATTTCGCTGGGATCCTGCGCGCGGGGCACGCCAGCGATTACAAACATGTCTCAATGCTGTTGAGTCAAAGCCCCGGTGCCAGGCGCTGCCTCCTTCCTGCTTGCTCGAGTCCCGCACCCCCTGGCTCCCTTCTAGTTCACGCTGTGCTCGGTCCCTCCGCGGGAATTCACTTGGGAACCCGCCGCCACCCTCGTCCTCTCCCCGACCTGGGCCGAGCAACAAGTGGAGCCGGAATTAATTCCATGGGCGAGAGGAGCGCGAAGGCGAGTGGAGCGCGCCGCCGGCGGCTGCGGAGGAGGCGGGGTGGCCCGGCGCGGGGGTGGTGGGTGG